CCTCAGCTGATCGCTCGAATCAACCAGCCCAACATCAGGGTCCGCGGTGCGGTTCATAGGTTGCTTGCCGAGGTTGGCAAAGCGCATCCTCAAGCCCTTGTGTATCCACTGACGGTGGCAATGAAATCGAACGTGACTCGACGCTCTCAATCTGCTAGCAACATCATGGAAAGTATGCGGCAACATAGCGCCAAACTTGTTGAGCAAGCAGATCTTGTGAGTCATGAGCTTATCCGAGTTGCGGTCCTGTGGCATGAACTCTGGCATGAAGGTCTCGAAGAAGCGTCTCGTCTCTATTTCGGCGATCACAATGTTGAAGGCATGTTCTCAACGCTTGCGCCCTTCCATGATATGCTAGACAAGGGCGCTGAGACCCTTCGTGAGGTGTCATTTGCGCAAGCTTTCGGTCGTGATCTTGCTGAAGCCAAGCATTACTGCATGATGTATCGCGAATCGGAGGAAATCGGTGATCTCAACCAAGCTTGGGACTTGTATTACACTGTGTTCCGGAAGATCAGCCGACAGCTGCCACAGCTATCGACTCTCGATCTTAAATACGTGTCTCCTCGACTCAAGGATTGCGCAGACCTTGACCTTGCCGTTCCAGGAACATACCAGAGTGGCAAGCCAGTTATTCGAATCATGAGCTTTGACCCGATCTTGCATGTTTTGCAGACAAAGAAACGACCCCGCCGCATGACGCTCAAAGGCAGCAACGGTAGCTCTTACATGTACCTTGTCAAGGGTCATGAAGATATCCGACAAGATGAGCGAGTCATGCAACTTTTCGGCTTGTGTAATACCTTGTTGGATAATGATGGCGAGAGTTTCAAGCGGCACTTGTCGGTCCAGCGTTTCCCTGCCATTCCATTGTCTCAGAGCTCTGGTCTCCTGGGGTGGGTGTCCAACAGTGATACATTGCATGCCCTGATCAAGGAATACCGCGAAAGCCGGAGAATCCTACTCAACATTGAGCATCGGATCATGCTTCAAATGGCGCCCGACTACGATAGCCTTACTCTCATGCAGAAAGTCGAAGTATTCGGTTACGCTATGGACAACACGACCGGCAAAGATCTGTACCGCGTGCTATGGCTTAAGAGCAAGAGCTCTGAGGCATGGCTTGAACGTCGTACGAACTACACTCGATCGCTCGGTGTTATGTCTATGGTCGGCTACATCCTTGGTCTGGGAGACAGGCACCCATCGAACTTGTTGCTGGATCGTGGTAATGGCCGTGTGGTTCATATCGACTTTGGTGATTGTTTCGAGATCGCAATGCATCGAGAGAAATACCCAGAGCGAGTTCCGTTCCGACTTACTCGCATGTTGACGTTCGCCATGGAAGTCAGCAACATTGAGGGTAGCTACCGTATCACTTGTGAAGCTGTCATGCGTGTTCTACGAGAGCACAAGGATTCCCTGATGGCAGTTTTGGAGGCTGTAAGTGACCCGGTTCCTTGACGTACTGAAAATCACACTCACTAACTTTTTTTCTAGTTCATCCACGACCCTCTAATCAACTGGCGTCTGGGTACACAAGAGTCTCCCGACCGGGTCTCTCTCACCGCGGATCGCCGCCAATCCATCATGGACGGTGTCAATTTCGAACCCGGCGCCCAGCCGCCGGGCGATTACTCGCGTCGCCGCCGCCCATCCATGCTTGAAGGTGGTATCCTCGACGCCCCAGAAGGCGTTCCACAAGAAGCCCGTGAGGCACAGAATGCCCGTGCTCTCCAGGTTCTCGCCCGAGTCAAGGAGAAGCTCACTGGACGAGACTTCAGAAATAACGAAGAGCTGAGTGTCAGCGACCAGGTGGACAAGCTCATTGCGCAGGCAACCAATGTTGAGAATATCTGTCAACACTGGATTGGATGGTGTAGTTTCTGGTGATCTGGCTTTGCTCTTGGAGTTCTACGGCGACGATGATATGATATGATGCGTTTTGTTTCGATTCCTCTTGTATTTAGAGTTAAACCCCGTCATCTGCTATTTTTTTGGTTCTTATTTCTAACTTCTTCTAATGCTTCTTCATGTTTATTTCCACTTGCTTGGTAGTAGTTTTGAGGTTGTATGAATAGAGAAAATCCCCATTGCATTATTCCATTTTATTTTACACACTCACCTAACAAATGAGGTCTATATCACTTGGGCAACCTTGGAGAAAATAAAAAGTATTATCGTGATAACATGATAACACGTGACCGGTGGCGATTGAGGTTTAGGTCCCAACGATTCACCTTCGGACATAGCAACTTCTCATACCACCTTTTTTTTTTTTTGATCTTCGCATTTCCAAGCATAATGGGTGGAGATTTGAACCTGAAGAAGTAAGTACTGAGCCCCAGCTTCAGTATCTACCCCAAGAGAAGCGTGACACTAACCGTCCGACCAGGTCATGGCATCCCGGCTTGCTCAAGAACCAGGAGCGCGTATGGCTGGAGGAGAAGCGCGCTCTCGAAGAGCGCAAACAGATCGCGCAACTACAGCGTGAACGAGAGGAAGAGCGCCAAATGGAGGAGATCCAGCGCCTTCAAGAAGCCGCCGGAAAGACAAAGCAACACCGCCGGGTCGACTGGATGTACCAGGCACCCTCGACCGAGACCGGGCACTACTCGGAGGAGATGGAGGGCTATCTTCTGGGAAAGCGCCGCATCGATGGAGTTCTCCTGAAGAACGACCCTGACACTAAGAAACTGGAGAAGGGTTCGGAGATGGTGGGCAATGGTGCCGCGGCTGGTCCTTCTATTGCCTCGGCGCGCGATACCATGTCGAAGGTTATGGCAGACCCGCTACTCGAAGTGAAGAAGAGGGAACAGGCGGCTTATGAGGCCATGGTGAAAGAGACGCTCAGACGCAAGGAAAGAGAGAAGGAACGCGGAGATCGCGATCGGGGGAAGGATCGTGATCGTCGCCATCGTACCCACGACTCAAAGCGCAGGCGCTATAGTGATGATGCTGGTGATGACCGCCGTGACCGCCACCACCGAAGATCTTCACCTCGACGACACCGATCTAGATCACCCGCTTCGCCCGATCGGTCTTCGCGCAGATACCGAAGTGACCGTGAGCGTGGACGCCGCAACGACGAACGCCGCTCAGACAGCCGTGATCGCCGGAGGGACGAGCACCGATCGCGCCGGGATGATAGGGACCGGGCCGAGACCGTCGCGACTACCAAGACAAGAGAGACTCCTATTCCAGCCGACACCACGATCGCGAAGACAGAGGTGGGCGGGACCGCTCACCATCCCGATCTCCTCGCCCATCTAGCGATCGTAAAGAACGTCCTGCCGCAGACGAAGATCGCCGTCGTGACTTCCCCCGGCGCGAATACAATAATCGGCGTGACTCAGGCCGGGCCATGGGGCCACCCACGCGTACCCCAACCAACAAGCCCGATCCCAAGGAAATGGAAGAAGAACGCCGCCGCAAGTTGGCAGAGATGCAATCTAATGCCACAGAAATCGAATCAGAGCGACAGCGCCGAATCGCAGAGATCTCTGCCAAGGAGGAACAGCAGCGGGAGGCTGATGATCGGCAGCGTTCAGACCGGGGCCGGTTCATGTCTGATGTCAATAAGCGAGTACAGGAAGATACTCTGGATGAACGTATTCGGCGTAGCCGTGGTGGTCTTGCGAAGATGGAGGAGGATTAAGACCCTCGTGGTTTCTATGTGGGACTAGGCATTTGCTGTTACATCGGGTTCTATATGCATGATTTCTTGTTCTCTTTTTAGCGTTACGGGAAGTTTTGATACCAAGTCATTGATATCCATTATTCAAGCCTTTCAGTCTCCTGCATGTGTCTGTATTGCAGTCTCGAATCAACTTCTTCTTTTGAAGTTCCTGTGAGAAACAGCAATGCATAGATTGCATAGTTTTATTTGTAGAGCTATATGTGATATATAATGGAATGGCAAGACTTCATTGGCATCATACGCCTGGGGCATTAAATAAATGCAAACCCTGCAGATGCCATTTCCATGGCCGCATATACGGAGATAGATTTCCCATTGAGCACCCTTTACTCCGGCATCTGCACCACCGGAGACTCCCTGGAGTAAACAGGATTTGATAAACTCGAACGATTAGGAGACTGGAAAGCCGATATTGCTGCTGCAGGGGGCTTGGGATGTCACATTTGATACGCACTAGGTCTCAATATATAAGTCGTTTCCGAACCTCGAGGTTCCGTCTATAAGCACGGACTTGAACGCATGTATTGATCACAGTGGGGACGAGCGTTAGTTGATTTCTTCCTATGGTAAACGGTACGAGTACGAGCATATATGAAAGTCCAGATCAGGCTACAGCTGGGCGATGAAACATCACATTGGCAGGGTGAGCTTGGAAATTTAATTACGAAGATAATGATGTTCGCTTGCCCTTCAGGGGTAATATTCTCAATAGAATAGCACAGACAATTGCTCGGGATAGGGGAGAGGTTTATCAGAATGTTCAGGAAGACCTCGGGACAAGGAACGAAGCTTCATAAGTTCAAAGTCCTCAGTAGTATTTCACACAAACCGTATGACGAGTGCATTTACTATTACTTCATTGTATCTAATATATCAGAAATTACGGTCCTCGCGCAGAATCTGAGGCGGTTGGTTGCGAAAGGTCCAAACTCGTTCAATATATCTACCAGAAGAACGACAGATTGAAGAATGCCAATGGAAATATGCACAAACCCCAGAAGGATCGACAGCAGTCTGACTGTTACCTACGTCAGAAGGCTATGGTCCAACTTGAATAATGTTGATCGGTAGTCCACATGTAGCCATTGATACGAGTACGAATCATCTCGTAGGACTAATTCGTAATGTCCGAGACAAGGAGAAAAATGATGACATGAAAGGCATTACCATGACTTTGATTGGTTCCATCTATCCCGTGGGTTATCTAGGTAGTATATAAGTCTTGCTATATTCCGGTCGACATCTATCCAGCCCTCTAAACATCCCTTGCTCTAGTGTCCCAGCGACTGAGACCTGCAATATGAAGTTCTATGGTGTTGCTATCACGCTTACCTTGTCCGTGGCTACTGCATCCTCTGATGCAGGATGGAAGCATGCCCTCCAATGGAAACCAGCTGGAGAATCTGATTGTATCGTGGCCCTAAGATGTTCTTGTCGTGTTAAGAGACTAATACTTTGAAGACCGAGGTCCTTGTCCCATGATGAATACCCTGGCAAATCACGGATTCCTTCCGCACGACGGCCGAAATATTACACGAGCGAATTTGGTCCATGCCCTTGGTCAGGCTCTTAATTTCAATGGCAGCCTGGCTAGCTTGATGTTCGATATGGGAGTTGTAGCTAACCCGAAACCAAATGCTACCGTCTTCACTCTGTAAGAACTGAATCTCTTTGAGACCACTTCGCTACCGACTGTCTTTCGGGTCAAACGCATCGAGATGCCTTTTTTCTTTCCCACGAACTAGAGCTTGGTCAACTCTTTGCTGATCAGTTTTGCTCCAGGGACGATCTCAACCGTCACAATGTTTTGGAACACGATGCTAGCCTGAGGTGAGTTGACATTTACTTCCTCTAAACACCGGCTCCATAAAACATGAACGAGTGCTGACACAAGTGTACAGTCGCTCCGATGCATTCTTCGGAAATAACCACGTCTTTAACGAGACTATATTCGAAGAGACCAAGGCTTACTGGACTGGACCTATCCTCGACCCGGACATGCTGGCAAATAGCAAAGTTGCACGCCAGATCAATTCCAAAGCGCACAACCCTACCTATACCTTTACCGCAAAGACCGAACAATTTAGCTTGGGAGAGGTTGCCGCTCCAGTTATTGCATTCGGCGATATACAAACAGGGACCGTCAACAGAAGCCTCGTTGAATATTTCTTTGGTAAGTTGACCAATTCAGATCCTATGCGGTGGTGTCTAATTCCGAACGTCTCAACCCATAGAGAACGAGCGTCTTCCTACCGACTTGGGCTGGAAGAGACCTGCAAAGGTTACAAGTTTACAGGATATCTTGAGTGTGACACAAATGATAAAGAAAGCGAGCCGCCTAATCACTCCGTCAGAGCCTTCTCCGGCTCATCAAGGATCTCAAGTCAACTTGCACGGCTAATTTTATCTCGTTGACATATTGTTGAGATGGGTGCCGAAGGATCTGATGGTTGCCGGATTTGTCAGGGCGGTAGTCTCATATAGTAGTCAACTACATGGATCTAGGAGATGGTCTCCTAAGGAATACAACTCTCTTTCCCCTAGTTGATTGTATATTGGGTCCGAGGGTGTTAACGCTGTCAACAGATCTTCCTAGACCACTGTGGCAGAGTGTATAACGACAATTGAACAAATAAGGACTTTTCGAATGTATTTCTAGCTGTCCATTAGAACCTCAAGTTGATCGCTTCCCGCACCCCAAACTTGCTGAACCGGCCATTCCAGATGATGCTGCCAATCCGGTGGTAGTAATTGCTGAATTTCTTGCAAGACAATACTCCCCCAAGGTCCCACGCACCAATTTTCCCGGGCCATATGGGAGAAACCCGCAGTAGTGGGCCAGCACGACCAAAGCGAACGGGTGTCCGCGGTTGAGATCATGGAGACAATGCTTGGAAGCTCGAATAGCGAATCCCCCAATGAGAGTCATCGATTGAGGTTGTACTAGGGTAAAAGCCGAGAGACTGCGGAGATGGGCAATATCCCGCTCATAGGTTGCAGTATCGTGGTGGACAAATTGCTGTCCACATTGGACGTTCAGCTCCTCAAGACGACGAAAAGCATCAACAATATCCTCCGGCCAGGTCAGTTCTGGGGGCGAGATATTGAACAGTGGTGCAAAATTGCTTTTCAGTAGGAACTCTTGCTGCTGGCTAGAAACTGTCTGCACACCACGGGCAAGTGTGAATATATCAATCAAAGAGGCTAAGCTGGGACCGTCAGAGGAACCAGGAGTCAGAGAGCTTCCGAACCTAAATGCCACGACGAGACCGGCAAAGCTCATCATTGCTTTGACATTCGACTGGTCGATGTTAGAAAGTTGCTCGGAGAATTCGGAGAGTGCGACGTTTTTGTGGGAGATGGCAATGCTCAACCACTTCGTTTGAGAACTTTCGTCTCGTAATCGCGACAGATGCAGTGCAGATAGACCCAGGATCCCGTGCATGAGGAACGGCGTGTGAAGGGCCTCCTGTAACACTTGCACCTCCCAGACTTTACGCGTCTCTTCATCGCGAGCAAGTAACTGGTGGGTTTGGGTAATCCACTGCAGTTCTAGTTCTAGTTGTTCCATATTCAGCGTAGGAACAACTGAGGATGTTTGCGCAGCACCTAGGTGACCCTCAGTGGCTGATACACTCGCTAAGAAAGGATCGGCATTCTGCTCCGCGGTCGAGGACTGTCTCGTCCGTTTAGATTTTCGTTGTTCCCAGCAAAGAAGTAAGGCCCTTCGGTGCTGTAGACACATTCTTGCTTTCGCTGAACACAGTTTGTGCATTGCGGCCGTTCCTCGCCACACTGGTTCAGAGTTAGGACGGAGTGCTGATAGGGAGTTGGTGGGACACACCTTGACCCTCCTCCGCTTGCAATTACTACACCCATGGCGGGATTTGGCATGTGATCGCCGATAGACCATTCTCGTGAGTGTTTACGAATCTGACAAATCTGACACGCGGACTCTACCTAGGTAGCTTCCAAGGTTACAGACAAGAGATTCAACTCGGCCTTGATGCCCCACCGAAGGGGCTATTACCACGCCCACCTATCCAAGGGATACGCACACTTTGAACAATTTTGCCAGGTGAGCTTGACAACGAGGTGGCAAAGACTGTTGGAGACCAGGCCAATGTCCGGAATAGACGAAGGATACGAGTACGAGACTCAAGTCTGGGCTACATTATTAGTAATAGGCAGAGATCTGCAGGCTGCCAGGGCACATACCTTTCTGGAAATAGCACTAGTTTATGTGCCGAGATCTTGTTCCACTTCAAAACGAATTCATAGGATGATATCGGCTAATGATGCAAGGTTATCCGCATCTGTGATGTCCCACCGTATTCCTGCATTTTCAGGAATGGCTTGGTCGACTATCCATCGGAGGGTTCGGAAATTTCACCTTCAGGTACCGGACGTAGTCGGGATATAAGAGGCAATCGCCAGGAATACCCCATGATTACCCTGTGAGGCAAGCAGACTTCTATCAAGTCAGGCCAGAATATATTTCGCGATAGTTGATCCGATATGGCTTACGGAAAGGGCAGAGTAGGTGTCATGCATACATAATCCTCCAAGCTTGGACCAGAAACCTCAGAGTAATTTTGAGCTTGGGTTTATTGCACATTTACCATCAACTAAGGTGATTAATCAGTATGCTGAACCTTGGAACAACCTTGGACAATATAGAAGTGTTATAGTACAACCAACTCGCCGTCGGACGACCAAAGTTAAACGGAAATAGACTAGAGCTTCATCATCCATCACGAAGAGAATATTATGGAATTGTTGGCGGTATGGCGGCTGGTATTCGCAGCGAGGAGAGGTCTGGTGGTGTTGTTGGAGGGAGGGCTATCTCTTACCTTCTTAGCTCTTTATATATGAGACTGCCTTCAATAAAACAGTAAGGTAAGCTCAATGTCAAGCATCAACACCGATGGTCCACTCCAGGTCCCTGGATTTGACTCTTGAACTACGAGCTCACTCACGGATACACACGTACCCTACTTAGTGGCGTTTATATCTTTCACTGTCAATCCTTTACTGCCTTCCTTTTTACGACTCTTTTGGGCGATCCATACATATGTAGCTAGTGGATTCTCACATCGCCTTATCCCTATATCCTCAGTTCCTTTGGAGATTGCCATGAGCGCGTTTTGGGATGATGATAACTAAAGCAATGAAGACACTCAAGCTACTCCAACTAATCATTCAGCCACGGATCATGGAGTAGATCCTTTGCAGTCTTCCTATCTTCAGGCCGCCACTGAAGCATCCCTCTCAAGAAAGCTATAAACATCTCCTTATTCCTTCCTTCGAGAAACACTTCCGACTGCTCCAAACTGACCCCTGTCGGAATCTCTACGTCTTGTTTCCATTTTCCTTTTAAGATTGTCTTCGTAAGTCTTTGAAAAGTGCATTGAGCGAGAAAAGGATACTTACCATCACTGGTGAAGAATTCATGGCTCCGTTTTCCACGTTGAAGCATATCTAAAGGGGGTGGCCCTAGAATACCCATGACTTCTGCAAGATGCGCCCGGGTCGAGTACCCTTTGCCATCAGGGTCATTTCCATGGAAAAGGTGTCTCCCCTCAAACAAATCCCACACCTATTATTTCTAAGCGGTTAGTACACGATATTAAGGGTAAAGAGTGAACAGGGAAAGCATACCATAACACCAACATTCCATATGTCAACCGGGTAGCTCCAATCAGTCTTCAGCATCACCTCTGGCGATCTATAAACATCTGGCTGTGCATCGTGATTCCTCCTCTCATCTCCTCGTACGGCAGAGCCAAAATCACTTAAAACTGCTCGACCAAACACCTTCGGCAAGTCGAAACGTCGTGAAGCATAAACGGGCAAGCCATTGACGATTTTGCGAGGTGAAGGGCTCTCCAGCTCAGCTTGGGTAAAACTTTCAAGGATGGACTTGTCTTCTATTTCTTGAAGGATATTATCGCTTTTAATGTCTATAAGAATGCAGATTAGGGCAACGCATTTCGAAAAAGTCTAATTGATACGACTTGCCGGTGTGGACAAGGTTGCATTCAGTGTGCAGATAGTCAAGTGCAAGAAATATCTGCATAAGACCAGGTTTGAGGAGATCTTCGGTAAATCGATGGTTGGGATTGCGATATAGAAGGTCCCTAAAACTCTCCCACGTCGGATTCTGAACAAGGCACGGATGGTTGCCGCCCGAAGAGGGGATTGTGAAGATATCTAGTGCTTTCCTTACATGGGCATGGCCAGGATGCCATGAACGCCCTTGACTTAGTTGCTTATAGATCTCAAACTCTTCCTTGTTACTTTCGCCACGAGTGTAGATCTTGAGTGTCACATATCGATGACCTCTGATTCGTTTCAGTGAGTCAGCGTCTAGTTAAAATAAATAGATCTACCCTGACTTACTCAAGATCACGAGCGAGCCATACAGTAGAAGTAGTCCCAAAACCAAGTTTACCAACAATCTGGTATTTGGAAATAAGGACGTCGCCAATATTAGCAGGATAATATCGTCCTTGTTTGAACTTCTCAAACCGTTCCTCATCAAGCACATCGGAGGGACGGACGGTTTCGAACCCGCTGGTGGGAAAACACATAGGAGGCGAGGGGGCACTCCGCAACGTCTTTGTGGCCCGTTTCATGATTGTAGCCATCCTGGGCGTGTATAAGGAGAAGAGGGTGGTACAGAAAGAATGCAGAATGAAGATAGTTAACTATCTACCTTGGTAAATATCTGGGTAGTTCCACTGGCACCTGGACCTGGGCAAGGGGGTGATGACTCATCATTCTGGGGGCACCGTCCCCCAGATCATATATATATCATTGGAATATATCGAGGGGCGACTGGCGGACAGTTGGCGGACGCCAAGTTAAGGAAGGTCACTAATCCGTGTGCGAGACGGGATCTCGGGAGGTCCACGGGTCCATCCATCCATGGATGGATGCCTAGGCGCTATCTAGGTAGGTAGAATAGGAAAATTAGCGTCAGCACTAGAACAGCGGTGCTACAGGGCAACGGCGGCTGGACGTCCAAAGTTACGGGTGGAAAGGAAAGGCAGCCAATTCGGCCTCAAAAGCGGTCATTTTCGACGCCGGCGTCAATTCCACAGGTCCTCATATTCTAGGTATAATTATCTATCTTTCCAGGATGCAGAATGCAGTATGATGTACATAAATAATAGAAGAAAAGGAAGAAAACAGTAAATACCATCTCTCCTATTCCTCCAAGGGACAGATTCTCAATCACTGACATCGAAACTTGTCCCACAACCGCAGTTACTTGTTGCACGGGGGTTATCCACAATCTTGAACTGGCTCCCGATCAACTCGGTGGTATAGTCCACGGTGCTGCCGTGCAGCAGCTCGAGCGAGGGCTCATCCATGACGACCTTGGCCTCGCCGGATGACTCTGTTGCAGCTTCATCCGCTTCTCCTTCAAACACAGTATCCTCTTCCGGGTCAATTTTGGAAGCCCCCTCTAAGGACATCAGATATTGGAAGCCATGGCACCCGCCGCTGGTTACTGTGATGCGAAGATGGTGGTACGGATTCTCTTCCTTGATGGCGGAGGGAGAGGTGGTTGGGTCTGTGATTTCGCGGAGACGCTGCACTGGGTTAGCTTGGTGGTTCACAGAAATAGAGAAGCCCAAAACGGAGGGGAAGGCAAAAAGAAAAAGTGATAAAAAGAAAAACATGCAACAGTGAGGATTCGCTGGTGGTCACCCACCCAACTACTAACTCACCGGCGTGTGGCTTAAGTACGGCTGAGCGGACGGGAAGCCCTGTTTTCCACACCCTATGGTCGCATGTACTTGGAAGGGCATGTGAAGGGCTCAAGGCGCGGTCACAGAGTTGTCCCATGCCAACTGAAAGCGAGCTGACACAGAGACAAACCCTGGCACTCGGCACTTGATGCCTATGCAGCCCAAACAGCTTCCCGCCCGTCCCAGCACAAGCCACATAGAAGAATGAAGCAAACGCAGACAAAACAGAAGCAAAGAAATCCTTTATCAACTCACCTCCACAGCTCGTGGTGAAATACCAATCATGAGGGATTGTCCATCATCTCCGGTTCTCGGGTTTTGCGTCACCTTCGTGGCAGGACGGATGGACGAGGAAGAAAAACAGGCATTTTGCTGGCGGATAGAGCGAGGGGTTGAGGATTGAGGTGCTGAGCGTTTGAGAGGAAGCGTACTGCTTGCGATAGAGCTTGGCCGACGAGGAACGATTTCGCCGCCGGGGAATGCGGAGAGGCGCAAAGCCGGTCGGGAAGTTGAGAAGAGCCGGCAAGTCTGTGGTGGGGATAACCGGCGGACGGCTGATGATGAGAGTAAAGAGCGCGACATTGCTGACGTGTGAAAGAATGAAATATTTCAAGAGGAGAAAGCAGAAGATGAAGAACACCTGATAACTATCAACATTTGAAATCATCCCATTCCCGATTACATCGGGTTAGTCAGTTTGGCAGTGACGCCATTGGTCAGATAAAGTCGGAGATGTATGGCAGAATAATGTCCCCATAGGGAAGAGATCGGCGAATGGTGGGGGACTGCAGATAAATGTTCAAGGTTGTATGACTCTCCCCGAAGCTTTGGTCTGCTAGAGCTCTCAGCTTTGCGAAATATACACCCGGATTCCCCGTAACTATCTGGATCTCGGTCTGTCGTCATGGGTTCCCGGCAGCATGTTCGGGACATCAAAAGCGGCTCCCCGCTTCCCTATACAGATGATATCAGAGCCTACAAGAAGGAGTATGCCGAAGCTCTTGATGCTCAAGATCCGCTTCGGGGCTTCCGGGATGAGTTTATCATTCCATCCAAGAAGGATCTCAAGCGGAAGACTCTGGCAGTAGATGACAGTGCGTACCAAGGTCTCTTGTATATCCAGGCAGCCGTTCTAATATTTGGCATTCTTCCTTCTCTTTAGGAAATGGAGCGTCTGATGAAAAATGCATCTACTTCTGTGGTAACTCACTGGGAGTCCAACCCCGTAGTACCCAGAAATATATCGAGCAATACTTGCGAACTTGGGCAACAAAAGGCGTGACCGGGCACTTTGTACCGCATGATGATCAATTGCTACCTCCTTTTGTCGAAGTTGACACTGCCGCCTCCAAGCTTATGGCCTCAGTTGTCGGTGCCTCTCAAAGTGAAGTGGCAGTTATGGGCACCTTGACTGCCAATTTGCACCTGCTAATGGCAAGCTTCTATCGCCCAACCAAAGAGAAGTATAAAATTATACTGGAGGGCAAGGCTTTTCCCAGTGACCATGTATGTTGCTCAATTGTGCAGTTGAACTTTGCCCTTTGTCATTGGTACTAATCCGAATGCAATTAAGTATGCGGTGGAGTCTCAGCTCCGCCATCATAACTTCGATCCGAAGCACGGCATGGTTTTGATTGAACCCAAAGATTTAGATCAGTCTACCCTGACCACGGAACAAATCATCAAAGCGATCGATGACAACGCTTCCAGCACCGCACTCGTTCTCCTCTCGGCTATTCAGTTCTACACAGGGCAGTACTTCGACATAGAACGGATCACAGCTCACGCCCACTCTAAAGGCATCCTGATCGGCTGGGACTGTGCTCACGCCGCCGGCAATGTGGATTTACGACTTCACGATTGGAATGTGGATTTTGCAGCCTGGTGCAATTACAAGTACCTCAACAGCGGACCGGGCGGAATAGCAGGACTATTTGTCCATGAACGCCACGGCTCTGTAGACGAGAAACAGCCCGAGACCGACGAGACATTCCGGCCTCGACTCTCAGGCTGGTGGGGTGGGGATATCAAAACGCGCTTCAACATGGAAAACAGTCAGTATCTTAATCGGATGTACAGATAGGCGAGACTGACGATCATAGAATTTCTACCACAACCCGGTGCCGCTGGATTCCAGCTGTCGAATCCCTCTGTTCTAGATATCAATGCGGTCGTCGCATCTCTCGAAATCTTCAACCGGGCAACAATGAAGGAAATTCGACAGAAATCCCTTAATCTCACGGGATATCTAGAACATCTCCTGACGAAGTATCCTCTAGGCGCTGCCCCAGAAGATAAACCATTTACCCTCATCACGCCATCAAACCCAGCTGAGCGAGGTGCCCAGCTCAGTCTACGTCTCCAGCCAGGGTTGCTAGATCACGTTCTGCATTGTCTGGAGGAGAATGGGGTTGTTATTGACGAGAGGAAACCGGATGTAGTTCGCGTCGCCCCTGCACCTTTGTATAACACTTACACGGAAGTGTGGGAGTTCTGTCAGATATTTTTGCAGGCGTGCAGAGAGGCCATGAAGGCACGTTGACCGTTTTTGTATGTTATATTACCATGTTTCAACTGCATATATCTACATGTAGATTTACCTATCAGGAACCTTCATTTTGAATCATTTCTTATTTACAAGCTCTGGGGTCAGGCATATCTACAAATTAAACGATATAGTCCGTAAAAAGTAGTGATCAGCCCTATAGGTAAAAGCTTCGGCTTCTCGGCACGCCTTCCAGGGCTGTTATCTCCGCAAATGGATGGATTGGGTCCTTCCCGCTTACGTGTTAGCGAGAAAAAATCGGAGTCGCAGGTTTCTATGCATCTCCTAGGCCTTTTTTTTCTCACCTGTTCGGTTTCGAAATCGACATGGCGGAGAAGCAAATAAAGCAACCATCTGTTTCGCACCCGGAATCCGGTCAAGATGGGACTGCGGGAACGAGAAGAGGGGATCTTGCTGATGTCGACTACTCAGTCTTCACAGTCAGTCAGCGCAGGTATATTGTCTTTATGGCCTCTTGGGCTGGGTTCTTCTCGCCTGTCTCTTCTCAGATCTACTTCCCCGCATTGAATACGTTGGCGAAAGATCTGCATGTATCAAATTCGTTGATCAATTTGACTTTGACAAGTTATATGGTAAGGCTTCGTACGTGTTTAGGACGTCCCATTATAGCTTGGTTAATGAGAATGCAGATTTTTCAAGGCTTGTCGCCCATGTTTATTGGTGACTTTGCGGACAAAGCTGGCCGACGACCAGCATATATCGTGTGTTTCACTATCTATATCGCTGCCAATATTGGACTTGCCCTGCAAAACAATTACGCAGCGCTTTTCGTTTTCCGGTGCTTGCAAAGTGCAGGGAGCAGCACGACCATTGCCCTCTCATCGGGAGTGGTCTCCGATGTAGCTACTGCATCACAACGAGGTTCCTACATGGGACTCGTCACGGCGGGATCTCTCATGGGCCCTTCCGTCGGACCAGTAGCATTGGAGGTCTATTGTCTCAATATTTGGGCTGGCGGGCGATCTTCTGGTTTCTGACCATTTTTGCAGCGGCTTTCATGATTCCCTTTCTGCTTTTCTTCCCGGAAACTGCTCGTGGTATTGTGGGTGATGGCTCATTGCCTCCTCAGAAATGGAATATGCCCCTGATAAGCTACCTGAAGTCCCGAAAGGCTCGTGAGGAAAGCGTCGTATCTACAGCAACTGCACCCAAGCAGAAGCTCAAGTTTCCGAATCCTCTCCAGACGCTTGCCATTGTTTTCCAGAAGGATACCAGTCTCATTCTCTTCTGCAATGCTATTCTTTTTTGCTGGATTTTACGACGTGAGCGCAAGCATTCCCTCTATTTTCAATGATCTCTACGGGCTAGACGACCTCCAGGTCGGTCTCTGCTATATTCCGTTTGGCCTCGGTGCAACCATCGCTTCTATTGTCAATGGCAAGTTCTTGGACTTGAATTACCGCCGACTCGCAAAGCAATTGAACTTCCCACTAACCAAGAACCGTGAAACTGACTTGCGGAATTTCCCCATTGAAAAGGCTCGTCTGCAGATCGCATTCCCTCTTCTCGCACTAGGAAGCATCTCCGTCCTGGCGTTTGGGTGGTTTTTGAACTATGGCATTCATCTCGCTGCGCCAACGTGTATTCTGTTCCTCATGGGGTTGACACTGACTGGTGCATTCAATACCATCAGTACACTCTTGGTAGACTTATATCCAACCCAAGCGGCCAAAGCCACTGCTGCCAATAATTTGGGCCGTTGCTTACTGGGAGCTGGCGCAACGGCACTCATCGATCCTATGCTTTCTGCTATGGGCCGGGGCTGGTGTTTCACATTCATCGCGTTGGTGATGATGGCCACGACACCGCTGCTTTTGATCGTGATTCGAAAGGGGCCGGATTGGCGTGAAGAGCGTCGTCTGAAAGAGGAAGCTAAGAATACTGGGAACGGGAATGTTTCAAGAAGCCAGAAGTGACCAGGGGGTTATTCCTCTGCCACCGGATGACCATCACGAACTACATTTTTCCTGTCGATACCCTTTAGAAACTGCGCCTAAGAAATGCATGATTATAGAACTCTTCAATAGACAATACAAGAAGGCAAAGGACCAATATGATCGTTGGCATGATAGGCTGATCCACATCGCATTGTCATCCACAGATCCATTTGCAAAAACCTCTTTCAACCATTTATCCCGTACTCCAAGCCTATCGCATCACCTGAAAGCAAAATGAGCCCGCTCCAAAGGCTGCCGTTCCGACTCCCATGCCAGCCAATCCGATCTCGTAGTTCTGGGCATATGTTAGCAAAATATTTGTTGTCAAAGCTGCAGGGCAAGACTTACGGCAATAGGCCCATCGCATTAACCTTCCAGATACCCAAACACAGTAATACCAGCTGCATCAACATGTAGACCACCTTCACTCCAAGCAGGCGCGAATGTGTCGATGGGGTGTCGTACTTGGCGAATGCCGCATTGGTACCTATCAGACCCTGGATGGGACCCTTGAACAGCATAAGGACCATCATAATGCTGAAAATCTGAAGACTATTGCCGGACATGTACATCATAATGGCATTCATTGGGATCTGCTTGGACGGGGCGATGGCGATCTCCCACGCTTTCTTCATCTTAAGCGCATCGGTCTCCTCGGGTCTCTTCGTGGTAGCTTGTTGTTGCTGTTGCTGGCGCTGAAAAGTACCATATTAGTATGTTCCCTTCCGTAGTATCATGAGTTATGGGTGGAACTCACCTGCTTGCCTCCGCGACTGCTCGAGAAGCCTGGCGGGTCCGGGATGCTAGATGCGGCCTTTGAGGGGCGAGGCATCGGGGAGTTCAAGGAAACAACCCATTGCGGAGGGGGGAGGTGGTGGTAGACGAGCTTGTGACATAATTAAGATAGTAAATGTGGTGTGTGGGGGGGAGAGATGATCTTAGAAGGAATGACGGGGAGGAAAGTTGGGTAGGGAGGTTCCCTCCGCAAGTGGCTACGCCGCCTTCAATTCTCCTTTCCTTCTTTCTCTCTCTCTCTTTTTATTTCCCACTTCATTATTCTTCTGATTCTTTTCCCAATTGTTTGAGAAAGGACAATGTCCAATCGCTGATTCAATTTGTCTCCGAGCATCCGAACGGTGAACACGTCCTCGGTCTCACCCTTTTCCTCTCTCGAAATTCCCCGACGGCCCGGACCCTTTAGACTTGATTTCACGCGCTTTACGTTCGTTCTATCCTCGACGATCCTCCAGCCAAGCTCGACTGTGATTGATCGCACGGTTGTCAGACACGACAGAGCTTGCCCGAAGTTCGCATTCCAAGAAATCGCGCCTAGCAGTGCCTAATCGCTATTCGTCCATACCGCAGCCATGAGTTCTGGAGGAGATGCGAAGTTATTCGCCAGGGTACGTTAGCTCGCCCAGCCTGTTCTCTGATTGCATGATATCTCCAACGTCGCATAATATCCATTTCCCCCTCTTCCCCGCATTCTACTCCCATGTATTCGCTTCCCCTCGCTTTAGTGAGCTCTGTACGGGGGCTTTTGCATCTTGCTTGGTTCCCTTGCATCCGGCATAGGCTGCTTGTTTTATTCCTACCTCACTCCGAACCAACCCATCATATCTGCCCTCATGTTTATCGCTATTTCTCCTTATCCTCCATTCCATGGCTCTCGCTCACGAAATATACAGGGGAAGGTTGCGGAGTTACGGCAAGAGCTCAATAGCGGCGGCAAAAAAGACAAGAACTATTCCGCCAAAAAGATCGCGCTTAAGAAGATTGTCGCCAATATGACCATGAGCAACAACGACATGGTTGCGCTGTTTCCGGATGTTATTGGTTGCATGAATCTGCCGAGTTTGGAGATCAAGAAGATGTATGTCCGGACCCTCTACGCAATAATGCTCCTTATGGCGTGCCATGCGCGCTAGAGCTTGCTTGCTAATGCGTTGTCTAGGTGCTTCTTGTTTCTGGTCAACTATTCGAGAATGAAACCAGAGGTCGCATTGAAAGCGCTACCTATATTGGTTGATGTATGGCCCCGCTGTTACGAAGGAAGGTTCGAGTTGGGCTAACTTTGCTATACAGGATATGACAGACAACAACCCACTTGTGCGCGCGCTTGCGCTGCGAACCATCTCATATGTGCATGTTCGTGAATTTGTCGAAGCGACGTTCCAACCTGTCAAGCGCCTGATGCAAGACAATGACCCATATGTCCGCAAGACGGCTGCTTTCTGTGTTGCAAAGCTCTATGAGCACGATAAAAAGATGGTTGAGAACTCAGATCTGATCGACAGGCTCAACCGCATGTTGAAGGATGAGAACCCGACTGTTGTTTCTAGCGTCTTGGCTTCGTTGGTGGATATCTGGGGCCGCAGTGAATCGATTTCACTCACTATCGATTATGTCAGTGCCTCGAAATTGGTTTCAATCCTGGCAGACTGCTCCGAGTAAGAATGTTCGGTTCCCTATCTAGGGACATTGTGTTAACAGTTCATACAGATGGTGTCAAACTTACATCCTCGAGGCATTAATGGCATATGTGCCTCAGGATTCCGCGGAGGCGCTTCTGCTGGCAGAGCGAATTGCCCCACGACTATCACACTCAAATTCCGCCGTCGTCCTAACCTCATGCCGTGTCATTCTTTATCTCATGAACTACATTGCGGGCGAAAAGCATATCACGTCGTTATGCAAGAAGTTATCTCCGCCGCTCGTCACATTGCTTTCCAAGCCGCCCGAGGTCCAGTATCTGGCACTGCGCAATGCTATCTTAATTCTTCAGAAGAGACCGGAGGTCTTGCGGAATGATATCCGAGTGTTTTTCTGCAATTACAACGACCCGATCTACGTCAAAGTCACCAAGCTGGAATTAATGTTCATGCTAACCACAAAAGAGAACATCTCCGTCGTGTTGGCAGAGCTCCGAGAGTAAGAACTTCACAGATTGACTTTATCAGACGTGTACTGACATCCTTCGCAGATATGCCACTGAAATTGATGTTCATTTTGTGCGCAAGGCCGTCCGGGCCATTGGAAAATTGGCAATCAAGATTGAATCGGCTGCAAAGCAGTGTATCGAAACGCTCTTGGAGCTGGTCGATGCCAAGATCCCATACATTGTCCAAGAGGCAACAGTTGTGATTCGCAACATCTTCCGCAAATACCCCAACCAGTACGAAAGCATAATCAGCCATGTTATCCGAAACATCGACGATCTGGATGAGCCTGAGGCCAAGGCAGCCGTCATTTGGATCATTGGCCAGTATGCGGACCGCATCGATAACTCGGATGGCCTCCTTCAGGATTACTTAGCCACATTCCACGACGAAACGGTCGAAGTGCAGCTGGCCCTGCTCACGGCTACCGTCAAACTTTTCATCCAACGCCCCACCAAGGGCCAGCAGCTCGTACCACAAGTCCTGAAATGGTGCACCGAAGAAACAGATGACCCTGATCTTCGTGACCGTGGTTACATGTACTGGCGCTTGTTGTCGACAGACCCAGCAACCGCCAAACAGATTGTCATGGGCCAAAAGCCCCCAATCACAGCCGAGAGCGAAAAGCTAGACCCACGCACCCTCGAGGAACTGTGTCTGAACGTCGGCACTCTAGCCACTGTTTACCTCAAGCCCATTCACCAAGTCTTCCGCGCTGCCCGCCCTCGGCGTCTCCTGCCCAGCCCAGCCTTGCAACGTTCCCCCATCGACGACGGCACAGGAAATATGCTCGAATACAACCCTCCCACCGCAAACATGGCCTCCGCATCAACCAGTAATAGCGGTCTAGCCACAATCATCACCACCGGTGATCCCGTGACGCCAGTCTACAATGGGCCGCCTCCTTCTCTCCCCGTCGCCCCGGGCGTCAACCCCGGAACCACAGGTCCCAGCAATATGAATGAGGCAGCAGATGCAGCAGACGCTTACTTCAGTGGTATCGGCTCCCAGCAAATGGCTTCGATGGATCTTGATGGTACCGGTGGTGGAGGTGCGCCTCAGACTCAGTACGTTGTGACTCAAAATCAGCAGCAGGTGTATCAGCCACAACTGGCTGGTGGAGCTGCCACGGGAGAGCTATTATTGTTATAATTCAGTTTAGAGAGGGATGTACTTGTACATGTAGATAGAAGACGTTTCATGCGGCTTGCGCCTAGTAATTACGGAATATTTTCATCTGAATGGAGTTTCTAGGGTTTCTCTCATTCACGTTAAGTCCCTATCGCAGAGCAACTCAAGATTTCGATTTAAGCACAGTTACAGTGGAAGATATGAAATATGTAGAATCTTTCTCGTTGATCTAATGCTTTCATCAAGTAACTGTTTTTCTTCTACCTGACACAAATACTCTCTCCATGCTGTGTTAACCATCTGCCTTCAAAGAAGCAGCGACAGCAGACCAGGGTGACACATGAAACAGCGGACGCCCACCAAAAATATCGCGATAATCCAACTTGATTTTGAACGAACCAGGAAGCCTTGAGCTTCCATGATCCATGGACGGGGAACACTCGAAAAATAAAAAAATTTGGAAAACAAGACACAGAAACAAGAAACGCGAGAAGGGGAAAGGGGGAGAGCAATGAGTATAATATGGAAAATAAAAAAACAAAGTAGGCAGAGAAAAAGAAAATTCATCTCAAGTCATGTCCGTTCCTCTTCTTGTAAGCAGAAGGCTTCCCACCATTCGCTTTTTTTCTTTTCAACTCTCGGCACACTTATGAGACACGGGCCGCGTTTAGTACACGCGAGCGAGGTTACGCAGGTACCAGTCCACCAGACGGCGGCCGGCCTTGGTCTCGCTGACGTGGATCAGGTCGTCCTCAAGAGCGTAGTCGAGATCGTTGGCGATGGCAGGCTCGCCATCCAGGAGGCCACCGTCGACCCAGCGGATCTGGCGGCTGCGCTGCTTGTTAACGAGCAGCCACGAGCGGAGCTGCTCGGGGACACCTCGAGGAAACCTGCAAGCTTCTTGAGGTCCATGGTGGTGTAGAGCTTGAGGTAAGAGCGGATGGTGGGGTTGAACAGGGTGTTCTTGACCTCGTCCATGAAGATGGCGGTGTGGTGGTGGTCGACGGGGTCGACGTTGGAGGCGGGGTTGTCGAAGTCGGGGGGAGTGGGGTTGATGAACTTAGGGCAGGAAGAGCGGAAGAGCTCCTCGAAGACGGGCAAGGCCTCGGGCCCACCCTTCTGCATGCGGTAGAACTGCTCGCCGTACTTCTCGCGGACGGCCGAGTGGATGGTGTCATCCAGACGGGTGGGGTGGAGAGCGACACAGATGGCAATCAGGGCGTACATCTGGTCGTTCTTCTTGGCGATGGCTTCGTAGTTGTTGCCGCCCTTCTGGAAGTTCTTTGTCCGAGACACATACACGAGGATGTGGCTGAACATGCGGATGGCGTCGCCGTAGCGGCGCATCATCATGTAGGAGAAGCCCACGTAGTAGTAGGTGGTGAAGTGGGCGGCCATCACGCGGGCGAACATGGCCTTCTTGTTCATCTCGACATCGTCGAGGATCTTCAGGGCGAGACTGAAGTCACCGAGCAGGCAGTGCACGCGCAGCAGTCCGATGATCGAGAAGTAACCGAGCATCTTGTACAACGGGCGCGAGCCGTACTCGCCGGCGACAGCCATTGGGTCCTCTCCCCGCTTAGTTGCGTTCAATTGCTCGCTGATCTGCGAGCGCTGGATGAGAGAGTAAAGCACGTTCAGCACTGAGTAGCAACCCCATGTGTTCGGGTTTTCGCGGAGCAGCTGGCTCTCCTCCTCGTTGGATCCAGTGCAAGCAACACGGTTGCGGTAACGGCAGAAGGACTCGAATTGGTAGATGAACTCGTCAATAACTTCCCAAGCCCAGTAGTACTGATTGTAGAGAAGATTATCGTTAGTTTTCTGAATTGTCATGAGGGATGAATCGACCTGTTGATTTCACGAATGCCAAGCTTTTCCTTTTCATTCATGGCGTTCAACAATCGGCGGGCGAAACGGGGGAACCTACGTTAGGAACCTCCAAATCCACGGGGCCATCGGAGTTCAGGATATAGTGGAAGAGACTGCAGTAGTTGTCGTAGCTGGCGAATTTGGTCTCAAGAGTAGCCTGGTATTCCAGCGGGGTGGCGGCGGCGGCCAGCTGGGCCTGAAGGTCGTGGGCCTGGGATGCACCGTGGGACATGGTCTGATCCAGCTCGCTCATTCCATCGTCGAAGTTGACCTGCTCGCGGTAGTCGTTGACCATAGCCTCCTCCTCATTATCGGACTCATCGTTCAAGTTGGGGCGCGCATTGGCGCGGTCTTCGTAGGACATGTTGAGTGTGAGGGGGGAAAGAAAAGAGTTAAAAATGCAGCAAGATGCCGAGATGAAACGGCAGTGAGGAAGCGGAAGGGGCGCGGTGGGGAGGGGGGTGGGATAGCGTCGGCGTGTGCGATTTGCCAAAGAAGTCGAATTTTGAGGGTTTTCGCTTGGGTGTTTGTGCTTATCTTATCTGCGCATAAGTATCGTGATGACTCAGCTGTGCGGGCTATGTGCACGGTGCACTCAGTACGGTGGAAGTATAGGGTACCGAGACCGTCACCTGTTTTAGCGGGAAATTATTGTACTGTCTACTTCCACTTCGTATAGACTTCAACATCGATATAGCTTCGCAACTACCTAGCTAGGTAAGTACGTAAATACCTACATATATAATTAGAAATTCAATAAGTAGAATGAAGGATTTAATATCCCTGAAGTGTACAAACATGTTGATGGAAGTGGCTCTAGACATTCTAAACTGACTTGGTACTTTTTTTTGGCTCGCTGGCTGTTCCATGTCTTGATATAAAAAGTGACCTTGTATAATATACTCCCTGCTCCGGCCCCTTGTTCAAAGACTAACCCCAGGGTACACTAGGTGTAATTATTCAGACTCTCTACAAATCTGGTCAAAGTGTATGGTATTTCCAAATAATAAAGACAGACGTAATAGGGCCCGACGGTGTCACAGCAGACAGAGGACGGTTGGCTTTAGCAATTTTACCAGGTCAGTTCAGCTCAGTACCCATTTTTGAACTTCCTAGAGGAATGTGCGAAGTTGAGCGCTAGAGACATTCTGTGTTTCTCGAGTATGTGATTTCATTAACTAGCCAGGTGTGGAATATTTAGGGAAAAGACTTCCGGTGGATCAGAGGCCAGCAACTGGTCGCCTGCCATCGGCTAACACTATTTTGCAGATGACAGCCCCTACCTGCCCTTCCCCCTCGGTCAACGTCGCCGCTTCTTTCCCCCTTTTTCCCCTCTCGCTCCAAGCCACAGGCGGTGATGTCTCCAGCCGAGTGCCGGGAAGGCAGAGATTGCACTGGCCATTACCGAAGAGATGAGTGGGCCAATGTCAACGTTTTATTCTGCCGTGACGGTTTTATAGGATATTGCAGCTTTTCCTCAACGCCCTCGTTCAAGTCCAGCCGGCACAATACCTCAACCTCGGATTTCCACCTTCATTTCACCCGAGTCTGCAGCAGGATGAACTTTCTTCCAATATCGTTCATATGGTAGCGGCATGGACGCATTCATACAGTCACAAACACAGGGGCCATGTTAAGTTTCAGGGCTCAAGACTCCTCCACTGTTCCGGGTCGTCGAAGATTGCAATAACCTCAGATGGCAATCGGACGCCAAGGTGCAGCGCGTTCTTCCTGATCTCATGAATCATGTCGGCTGTTTGCTTAAACCTGTGACTAAGAGCCGTTCCAAACCGACACAGCTCGGCAAACGCCTGCCTTGATTCGTCACTTTCTTCCAGTTGGGGAACCAAGATCCGAAGGCCCGTCTGTATGGCATCGACTATCTGGCTGGGTATATGCTTGAGGCCATATGACTGACGATGGATGCGAAGACATTGCGCCGTTTCCTCGACGGACTTAACCTGGTAGAACCGGGCCTGCCGAACCGACTGTGGCTGATGAGGGTCATTCAAAATCTCAAACAGATGTATGATAGCCTGCAGACATTTTATTCTTCACGAGGCATCAGCACAGGAACAATCACTAGGGTGCATGCAAGAGGAAGATAATCATGCTTACCGCAAGAGAAGGACTTGTGGAACCGGATTTGGTTGTATCTCGGGCACGCTCGGCCAGCGTTGCAGCCAAGCAGTCAAACGGTCGAATGGGTCCTGAGCTTTTCTCCACAACTCGTCAAGATTGGTGCCGCGGTGTCTTTCAGAAATGAGTTTTTGGGCATCGACTAAGGTTCTGGTGAGCTCAGCAAGTCCCTCCCTGACTTCAGGGAGACGTGCTGGCTTTTTGTCATATGTGATTTTGTTTGAGCGAGGTACGGTGTCCAGTCAAAGTCTTCGTTACCACACAGTTTGACATCGGACGTGGGATATTCCAAGGGAGCAATCTTCTGCAGCTCAATCGACATTTGTCTACACCAATTAGTTAGACATTGCTCGTTTCTGTAAGGATGGGCAGCACTTACGACCTCATGTTGAAGACACCCCAGGCAGTAATCGTACGAACACGTTCCATCTCTGGCAACATCTCCTTTTTCGACACTGCTGGGGTATCAAAGAGTCCTATATCCTGTGCCAACCGAACGGCTTGGCTAAGCATCATCCAACTTTTCTTGACTCGTCCTTGGCATTTAAATCTGCCAAAAGTCAACATCGTGGACATGGCTGGTCTGCTACAAACCAGTGGACAACATACACACAGCACATTAAGAGGAGAGCCTGGATGTTAGGCAGGTCGTGGTCGTCATCTTCGACTTCCCACAGTCTTTGTGCCTCATGGAAAAAATTCTGACCGCGCGAGAATACGTTCTCGGGGATGGAAAAAACATCAGGGCTATCAGAATAGGTCTATCGGGGTTAGCTAATGGTTTCGCAGGGGGGTATATTTGCGAGATCCATACGCTGGCCATTGACAACAGGCTATTGACGAGAAGGGGCGTGCAGAACTCCGACCTTCGGTCACCGAGTTTCATATGCTGCAGGAAGATGCGCTGATCAAGGAACTGCGTACATGGGTGGTCCCAGGTAAAGTAGAGTGAGACTAGGTGCGAGACCAGATAACCATCATCTGTGACCTTTGTCCAGGGCTTTGCTGGCACCTCGAAGAGAGGTATGTCACAGAGGCTTTCCAGTGTGACACGAGCGTAAGGGCTAACTGTCGGCCATTGCGGGGGTTTCATGTTTGGAATCTCTTCTGGTGAGCTTGCTATATTGCCAGGGTCCGACGGCCGTCTCACTCCGTTGCCCGAGGTTTCTATGGGATTCTCCCCATACTCTAAAATCGCCAATTTGCTGGCATTGGACAACTCTTGGGGGTCACCGAACGTTGTGGCCGGGCTTCCGACAGCATGGGCGATATCTTGGAACGGTGCCTTTTTCCGAATCAGATCCATCACTTTGTCAAACTGGAGCTTGTCAGCCGACCCGAGGGTGCTTAACAAAGACTCTAGTAGATCTTTGTGGTTTGTGAGCTCCTGGATCGTCCGTTTGACGGCAACCTTTCGTCTGAGGTCTCGACTAGGATCGAAGTGACATTCGGTGTTGGTGGACCGACAAGCCTTGCACGGTGCATCCGGTCCAGAACACTATATTGAGCGAAACACAACAATTAGCCATTTTTCTCCAAGATATGGTACAAGCCAGAAAAAGAGATAGGGAAAGGGAAAGAGAAAAGAAAGAAATCAACCGATGCACCAACTCACCTTCCTCTTTGCTGCCTTGCATGCCAGGCAAGCCGTGGAATTCTTCTTTGGCCTACTGACAGCAGTCGTCGTCTGCGGGGCGAACATGCGCGGCGGCCCCGGTGCCAGCGCCGGAAATTGTTTCGTGTTCTCGTGGGGGGGTCATCTTCATTTTCAAAAGATCAGCCTTGTGGACTATGGTTTCCAAAAAGTTGTGGTTCGAGATGTCTGACCGAAATATACCGCGGTTGAAGCTTCGGCAATGCGAGTCTGTTTGATGAAGCAACGCTGACTTGATGTTTCGAGTGGTGCGGACAGACGATCTTCTATACAGCACTGAAGCACGGTCCTAACGTTCCTTCTTATGGGCCATCGAATTCGACGTCTCCAACGTCTCACCAGCCCGATGTCAGGAAGGGGGTAAGTGTCATGTCGCAATGGTACGGGCGTCACGGTGCGGTGCGTTATTTACGCATGAGGGTGGGGCACGACTAAAAGAAACTATTCTGGAATCGGTCGAAATGATCAGAGTCCACCTGCAGGTGACAATATCCCAAAAGCGAGAGGGTCGCGTTGGCAAACAGAAGGGGATGTTCGACGCCCGTCACACAACCGGGGTAACCCGGTAGCCCAAGCTCGAATTCGACAATGATTGGAGGGCTAACAAATCCAGCAACTTATCAATACAAGCCGATGATATGCAGCGGATGGACGAAGGGGCCATCGAGTAGCCTGAGGGATACTGTCAAGAGATCCGGGAGATCGAGGACCGAATATGGAAAGCCCGGGGCCAGCTTGACCCAACGGGATACTAATCCAGAAAAAAAATCAATGGCGAATCAAAAATTTGAAAGAAAAAAATTGAAAGAAAATGGGGAAAAAATTTGAAATAGGAAAATTAATTGAGAAAAAAAGCAGCACCGTGTGTACGGAGTCGGGATGTATCAGTACGGGGGTACCCAAAAAGAGAATATTTTGAATCTAGGGAGTGCGCAATCTTCTATGGTATGTACGGAGTATTTGGATGTCTTTCTCGGAATACATGCCGTCTTAGAATGGTGTGATCTGCTTCAAACTTGGACTACTCTAATGACCTTGACTATCTTGACTATGACCCTTTCTACTTTTCCCCCTGTCTGATTCTCTCTTGGCAAAAGAGTGGCATCGGAGATGCCGCCACTTCAAACCTGATAAATGTTCAGGACTGTCAGGTTTCTTGGAGACTGAAGCCAGATTTGTTATCTTGTATAGGAAACCCCTATGTCAATCATATATACCTCCATAACCTCCACCTTTTTTTCGCCACTTTCCTTCATGAACTAATTGGGATGACATACAGCATATATCACAAGGAAAAAAACTCACACCTATGTCAATATTGCATTTGTGGAGAATATCATTTTTACTAACCAGCCACGCTCACGCCAGCCTTCTAAGATGGGAATCTCGATTTCAACCTGGGCTTGGAAAAATGATCCAAAGGGCAGGGTTCGCATGGAGCAAAAATTCCAGCACACCGGTTCATGGGACCACGAGATGTGCTTCAGGGCTGCTACCTAGGTACGGAGTACACGCTGTGGATCTCCATACGGAGTAGAATCTTGGAACCTTGTCCCGTCCCAAAGTCTTTTCCGTTGTGGATCGAATCGGGATTTTCAAGGGGGAAGAACATCTTGAACCTCATTACCGGATCTACCAAGTACCGATCCCTTTTTAGACTTAAATTATAATTCGATACTTACCTGGATCCTCTACTCCGTACTCTGTACTCCGCGTAATGATATTCACCAAACTCTCTCGACAAATCCCCTTCAGTGTTTACTTGATACATCCCCATAACTTCTTCCAACGTTTCTCATTGGCGGTTAAAACAACAGCCAATCGGAATCACTAGAGGAAAAGCATTTTCCTTTCTTGGCATTTGGTCAATCACTCTGAATCACTCATCAAGCAACTGGCTTAATTTACATTCTTGCTGGCGATACTGCACTACTTCACTTGGATGTCAGAACTACCTGACCGTTTGAGCGAAAGTTTTCGTTCGATATCTCTATTATACTACAGTATCGTATCTTGTATATTGTGTATACCACACTAGTACTGACATATGGGATACCTTTCCCAACACGACATCTCCCCGGCACTATTCACCCAGATTCTCGGGCCGTTCCAACTAGTCTTTTTCTAGTGAGGTCCGCGGAGAATGATTTTTTTTTTCTCAAAAAATAAAAGAAAAAAAAACCCCCAAAATGGAAAAGTAAACTTTCCGACTTTGAGCCTAGATGAATTATACATGCTAGTCGCATACTGCCGCTTACGCACCCGGTAAACTGAAAATTAAGATAACGGATCTTTTGTTCCGTTCGTTTATATCCTATCGCTTGAGGTTGTTTAGATATACAATAAACACATCCATGGATAGATGTACTTCGCCCCCCGCACAAATTCCAGTCCTGGTTAGATGCCGAGACCAGGGAGCCAGTGAGATCCGCTATGCGGCTGAGATCCCCTCTTTTCTCCCGTGTCTTGGGCATTGAATTCCCAACAATCCTTTTTTTTTTCTGCAACCAATGTACGGAGTACAGTACAGGAAGGTGAATATTGGCTGCAATGTAACGTGGTCTACAAATGTCTATCACCTGCATATGTGATGAAAGCCCCCTCGCCTATCTAGGAGATAGCGGGAAAACACTCCTGCCAAAAGTAGAGTTAGCGCGATGCAGCACAAAAAAACGCGGTTATCCTATAGTTTTGCTGAGATGCTAACTTAGATTCTTATGTTCTGGACCAGACCACTTTCAAACTTCGAAATTTGCATGTGCTTATCTATAATTTGCTGGACCTTGTACCTTGTATACAAAGGATCTGTATATGGGGTTGATGTCATTTACTTTCTTACTTTCTCATTCGGATATAATAAATCTCCTTTGGTTGGTCGGATGTGTTCACCGTTAGCGGTCACCTTGGCCCCCGCTTTAACTAGGTTTACTATATTTGTCCGGATGACATTTTGAGATTTCCGGTCTATTTCAACTAGCATTTTCGTATAATTCATATTATAATCTATATCCATACTCTCTATAGAGTAGTGATAGACCCTTCAATTAGCTTTTTTATAATCCAACTCTTTTTTTTTTACTTTCAGAGAACCACGGCCCGTTAGTGCATTGCAGCTGTACCTAGGTAGCGGGGTATTTAACTAATCTGGATCCCACCTGGGCAATCTTTTTTTGCCAAGGATTCGGATTAGTACAATATAGTATTTGCTTTTGTTGTCCCAATAAACCCAGCTCTTGCATATCCCCACGGGTGGATTGGTTTCTGACACCTGCCATTCTACTTCCTACACAGATTACGCAGGCCATGTTTGCTACTTTCCTTTCTTTTTTCTCGAACCACTTACGATATTTAGGATGAGATCAGCCAGGTGCAGGCACTGCGAGTCAAACAATACTGCCAGATCATATATGTCATATTACGGCTCGGTGTTTGGTTGGCTTTCATTTCTGTGACAAACCCCTTGATTCCAACCTGGTCGGTTCTGTATCCAATCGTCGGGTCATCGGACTACCAACAAGCGATGCTTGCAGCATATGCACATGTTAGCATCCAGTCCGCATTATTGGCTTGAGATATGTCACATATCATGGCAGTGCCATCCTTGAGGTTGGTCGATCACGCCTCTATCCTCTTAGATTGTACACGCAGGCCTCGTGGCGGGGATATCTACCGACCAATCGCTCTGATATAGCAGTCTCAGTTTTATCAAGGTCCCCAACAGATGTATTTGTTCTTTTTGTTGCATGTTGTAGGCAAACAATGAACCCGACATCCCCATCATTACTTATGTGTTGTATATTGTATCCCGGGTCGAGAGTCTATCTTCTTGGCGCATACAGTTATTTATGTAGTCATGGCTCATGCCATGTTCCTTACCTTTGCGCTCTGTCGCCGATAGTCTGTCAGTCCCCGAGACAGTTAGAATCGTAGAATTATCCGTGGCAAGATCATAGGGGTCAGCGGGCATTTGCCTTTTTCGGTTAAGTATAATAAAAGATGTATCCATGGGATATAACTATAGGATATAATACAGAAGTAATCTTCCCGCAAATTTTTCCATATCAACAAGTCTCCAGGACTCGATTAGATGAAATGGTGATCGAAATATTAACGTCCTTGATCACGTCATCTACAGTAGCTCTTGCATCAAGCACTATCCATTTTACATTCCTCCCTTCCTCGTTCTTTATTAAAGGTAGTAGGATGCATCTTGGGTTTTTCATTTGCGGTGCTGTCTGTGAGAACCCTAATTGACTAAAATGCCTATATGTGTAGGTGTGAAAGGCCTTTCTAGCAAGTTCTTCACTACCGCTTGTATGTCCAAGCCATACAAATACAATAAATAAGTTTGCCGTCGATTCGTATTTGACCTGGTTTGGATGACTTGTGGCCCGGTCGTATCCTTAGTCAATGTCAATGTCACTTTGCGAGCTTTTCAGTATAATAAAAATGTTTATCTTCCAAATCCCAGTCGAGTCGCATAGTAAACTAAAGTTTCTACATCGACACACAAAGGAATTATCGAATACTTATAACACTTTCTATGTACTACGCTGGGAACCTGAATATCTCCTCATTGCATTCTAATCTGGCTATGAAGGCCACTTGACCCATATCCTGAAAGAGTCTAGCTCCACATTCAAGATAACGCTCTACATAGGGCCGTGATTGTACAGAAGCTCGCTTCGGTCCATGTGCATCGCCTTAGCCTCGGTCAACGTTGCCTCCGTGTAAATATCTCCAGCGTCTCAGTAGGACCGTCCAGCCAAGCCTTGCAAGCATTAGTCTTGATGACTTCTGTACCATAATGCGTTAGTACCGGATACCGATAATGGACAGTTATAGTGGCCATGGCAGTAGCTCTGACTTATTTGAGGATATGAGGGCAGCAACTCCGGCTAAAAGTCTCTTCTAGCATGTTGCCAGTAGACTGTCGTGGATAACAGCTGGGTCACTGCAGATATCATATGCGGGGTTGCGTGATCCTGGCCGAGCTTTTGCCGTTAGTTTCGTTGGATGACGGATATATTCTCCGGCCCAACCAGTGT